GGTAGCCTATGTGGGTTTCGAACCCACATCCTCCAATAATCACATGATACTCTACCAGTTAAGCTAATAGGCTTTATGAAAAAGAAAGCATAATACATTTGAGCTCTTTCAATCACTGCAGCTTAATAAACTTCATTATGCTTTGTAATTCTTACAAAAAAATACATAACTATAAAGTGAAAATTTATAACTTTTTCACAAAAGAAAACCTTTTCATTTTTTTCCGAAACTTGCAAGTGACACATATGCTGTGTTAAAAAGGAGAACAAGATTTAGCACTATCACTTTTATCCGTGCCTAAAGTAAATTTAAGAAGGTATATTTTATCATTAAACTAATAGAACCAGATTAGAAACTTCTAGAATTAAATGCATAACTTTTAGTTTTACACACGGTGCAATCAATGAAAACATTCACTTATTTATAGCATCAATTCAAGAACAATCAAACAGTGCTCCATGGTGATAAAATAAAATAGTGTGAGGTTGCCAAGAAAACGACTGTTCTAAACCAAAAACATTCAAACTTTTAAAAATATTAAACTTTTAGTTTTAACATTTATTTGTTAAAACACAACATAAATAACTTCTTCCCTCCATGACACACTTCCACATTTCATACTCCATTGTTATGTTCCTCTATAAAAAGTCAAAACAGAAACATTCAAACCTTTATATAAACAAATCGAACTTTTAATTAAATAATTCTAACTTTTAAGTAGAAGTATTCATTCTATATTTTTCACTACCACAGTTTTTGTAATTGCATATTACAGGAAATATTGTGCATAATCTGTTTTTAATTTGTGCCTTGAGTTTCATATTATATATAGAGATTTTATTTTTAAATCTCAACATAAGATACATTCTTCATTCAATGCAGCCTGCATATTTCCCTCTTCATTGTTATGCTCCTCTATAAAAAGCCAAAAGAGAAACCTTCAAACTTTTATATAAATAAGTTGAACTTTTTAATAAAATAATTCTAACTTTTAATTAGAAGTGTTCATTCTATACTCTTCACTACCCACAGTTTTTGTAATTCCATATTAAGGGAAATATTGTGCATAACTTGTTTTCATTTTGTGCCTTGAGTTTCATATTATTTATAGACATTTTATTTGTAAAACACAACATAAGATACCTTCTTCATTCCTTGAAACTTCCTCATTTGCCTCGGCATTGTTCTGCTCATCTATAAAAAGCCAAAACAGAAATACTCAAACTTTTATATAAATAACTTTAACTTTTGATAGTATAATTCTAACTTTTAATTAGAAGTATTCATTCTATACATTTCAGTATCCACAATTTTAGTATTTGCATATTAAGTGAAGTAAGAAACCTTGTTCAGTTCTTGTAGCTTCCTCATTATCATCTTTAGTGTTCAGCTTGTCTATAAAAAGCCAGACAGAAATAATAAACTTTTATATAAATAACTTCAACTTTTGATATTTAAATTTTACGGAGTAACTTTTAATAGCAGTATTCATTCCATACATTATGCTCTCTGGTTCCACACAATATAATTCAAATTACCTTCTTGAACAACAATATTTGCTTTAACAGACTTATGTAATGCAACATCTTCATATCCTTCTTCAATGAACTATAACTTTATATTAGTTTTACACAATTAAACAAACTGTGTTGCTCAAACAATAAGTTCTGGTAGTAAAATCAATAAATTATTCAAATACATGTAATCGTAAATATCAAATTAAAAGCAGTTTTCCCCCAAAATTACTATAATCGGCTTCAACAAACTTGGATGAAAATCTATAAGAGTCTAAATCGGCAACTTGGAATGCATGAAAATCTATATGTTAACCTAAATTTGTATTTAGAACTTGAATGAAAGGAGTTTATGAATGGAGTCGAAGTTTATCGAATTTTGTGAAATTACCATTGAAGATACAAGCCGAAGTTCGGAGAAGTCTGACACAACTTCGCCGGTGATTCAACTTTAGCGATGTGCAATTTCAGTTCGTGAAGTTCGGAGAAATCTGACAAAACTTCAGCGGAGTCGGATCGATTGAAGTTCGTCGATGAAGTCTAACACAACTTCGCCGGTGATTCAAGTTCGTCGAGAAATCTGACACAACTTCAGCGAAGTCCGTCGATACAGGTTATCGATGTTCGGAGAAGTCTGACACAACTTTGGCGGAGTCCGATTGATACAAGTTCATCAAAGTTCAGAGAAGTCTGACTCAATTTCGGCAGAATCCGATTGCAAGAGGGATTGAAAGTTCTTGAGCGGTTTTGAGGTTCAGTGAACTGATTGCTCTGTCTCGGTTATTCAACGATTGGTAGAAAAAAATTCCCAGCTTCTAAATCTGAGCCCGCTTTTATTTTAATTTTAAATTTCTGTCGTAGATTAGTTTTAATCTAACGATCATGATGACTTCTCACTTTTCAACCCTACAAGGCTTCTCACCAGATTCATTCTCTCTCTCTCTCTCTCTCTCTCTCTCTCTCTCTCTCTATATATATATATATATATATATATATATATATATATATATATATATATATATGGTGCGGTTCCAGTGAGAACACTTCTTAACGTGAGAAATGAGAACGCTCTAAAACGATGCACTTTATCATTCACGAAAATGCACATTTATAGTTAAAGTAATGCCAAATTCTAATGTGCACGTTTACGTGTAAATTTTTGCACACTTGAAATGCAGATTTTCCAATTTTTTATATGCACATTTCTGTTTTACTTGATGCACAATGCCAAAATCCAAAGCTCAAGAATCATTCTCATTTCTCATGTTAAGAAGTATTCTCATTTGATCCTTGCTCTCTCTCTCTCTCTCTATATATATATATATATTGTTGTTCCCTGTTTTCTATAACAACAGTATAATATGGCATACAGATGAAAGATTAACAATAAAGATGAACACAGAAAGATCAAGTGAAAACCTTCTCTGATATACCGTGAATCTTTCGTACAAGAATGATAAGCTCTAAGGCTATTTTGAGCAGATACGAAAGTTAACCGCAAACCTGAGTCCTCCTCCCTCTTTTATAGGCGAGGCTCAGGTATGCGTACAAAGGCTTCTTGCCTGAGTATGGGCCTAACACTTGACCCATATTGTATACTATTCTAACAGATATATTTAATCAGTACAGAATAGAAATAGTAAACATCTAACTTATTACAGACAAGACAGACAAACTTGATTCACAATAAATAGTCTTCAACATATATATATATATATATATATATATATATATATATATATAATTTCTTACTCCCTCCGTCCCGAAAAGGATTGCCAAGTTTGACCCGCACATAAAATAATAAAGTAAAAACTGTGTGGTAGAGATTTGTGCAGAGGAGAGAGAAATAACACGAACCACAAATTGATTGATTAAAAAGGAAAGTGACGGAGTTTTTGGGACAACCAAAAAAGGAAAGTTGGCAAAGTTATAAGGGACGGAGGGAGTATTATTTTCAAAAGGTTAGGTGGAATTTACTTAGCATTATTGCTAATGTTTGTTTTCTTTTTATTTTCTTTCTGTGCTTGTTTTGTACAAGTGATGAATTGATAAAGATGTTGTTTCAAGAGAGCTTCCGCTAGAAAACATAGTTTGTAAATCATTGTAAATTTAATTTCCAAGATCTTTAGTAAATATATGTTTTGGAGTTCAAATTAGTTTTGAAGGTGGTTAGCCTGTGCACTCGGTTAGGTTAGAATCGGGTGTGGCGGTAACGCCCCTGTTTCCCTTTAAATTTTCTGCTGCACAATTTTGATAATTTTAAATAATGTCAATATTTCTTGTGGAATAAAATATTATTTGATGGTAGTTTTGCGTGGGAAATTTGTAGTAGTAACTACCTCGGGCCCTACGGGGCGGGGTGTTACAAGTGGTATCAGAGCAACCCTGCGACAGTGAGTTGATCCGTTGGATATCAGGCGGACACTTAGGAGGGGAAGATTCGGGGATATGATTGAGATTGAATTGGATTGAGATTAAATTGGCTTATGGGCTCAACGAGGACGTTGCGATCCTAAGTGGGGGTGATTGTAACACTTGAGATTTAATTTAAATGGATTAATAGTATTACTCATACAAACAAGGTGCATCTCCTTTTAAGGGAGCTCATCAGCTAAGAACTCCAAAGTTAAATGAGCTTGCACGGGAGTATTCTTGGGATGGGTGACCCCCTGAGAAGTTTCTCAGGTCGCGCACGAGTGAGGTCAAAGTGCGCGAAAAAGGTTGGTGACGATTTGTGAGGACAGTACTAGAGGTTTTGAGTAACTACCTCGGCTCCTGTGGGGCTGGGGTGTTACACTGGACTTGCCTCTTCACCTTCTTGTCTTGGGCTTCCGCTCCTTGATGGGCCTGATCGATTGCACCGGCTCAAGCTCTGGGTCGCTGGGCTTGGGCCTGCTGGTCCAAGTTCGGGGCCTGGACCGAATAGGCTCTGGGCTTAGTCCTGTAACCCCATCAGTATGTATTGGGCTGCTTAACAAGTAAGATTAATCAGCATAGCCATACTTAAATGAAGTATCATTTGTTCAAAACTAATCTTACTTGGTTATCAAGAAATATTAATTGAGAATAACAAGGATGACATGCCTAAACTTATCTTAGTTGAGACATCGTTTGACAAAAGAGAATTATTAGCACAAATTAATCATTAAAAGGTTATTCAGATTTAATTGACATTTATATATCTTTGATAGTCATAATGTCCTTCTAGAGACCGCTTATGACTTGTGAGACTCGAAACAATTTTTTGACCCACTGCCAACGATATATAAACTACATGATCACACACCTAAGTAATATATGTGGATCATTAATGTTTGTTTATAACATTAAAGTAGCCCGATTAGCTCTATTCGAAATAGGGTTTGAAATAATATTGAGCTAGGCCCTGGAGGAGTGTTTTATTAGCTATAAAAGTCCTTCTTTTCTCCCTTATAAATAGGGCTAGTGATGATAACCACGAATTTGAGTGTTAAATTCACATCTAATAAACCTAGAGAGAGAGAATAGAACGCTAGCACGTTCCCGACTAGCGATCCAGTAACGTGCGCGTGGATATCAATAGAGCTCGGGATCATCTCTCGGAGTGTCTGACATCCTTGCTTTGAGTTTGCAATGTAAGTCCCTCATATTCTTGTAATTTCGTTTATAGTAAGAACCTCATATCCGGTTGATTACTTTTGGGCAGCGATTTTTTTTTTTTGCTTTTTTCCGCTGCCTTTTTCTACCCGAAAGTCAACATAGGAGGCAAAGTTCTTTGCTATTAAAACAAAGAAGTATTGTTGTTTTTGCTATATAGTGTTGTTGGTATTGTTATTATAATATTATTATAATTAAAACAACAACAATAATAAAAATTATTATTATTATTATTATTATTATTATTATTATTATTATTATTATTATTATTATTATTATTATTATTATTACCACTACTATATTAGAGTATTAGACCATGGGGAAGTGGGGGTGTGATGATTAAAGTTCGATGGTCCTTATTTTCAATTCATGAAAGTGAATTCAACAGTAATTTCGTAAGTAAAATAACATAATATAACTCACACGATTGTAATAAGAAGGCTGGCTTCGTAACAAGGGCTTAATTTCCCGATCTTCTCTACATACAACAAGGTACTGCTTAGGATAAACTTCTTGGCAGTGGCCTGGCCTCGAGAAGAAGAAGATGAGAGGAGTAGCTTTCTTCGTAATCTCCATTTGCGGTAGCTTAATCTCGGTGTCTTGTGCCACCGCCCGGTTATCATCAAATAAGCAACGTTATGAGGTTGAGCAGCACTTGAAAAAGCTAAACAAACCTGCCGTTAAAACAATTCTGGTAATTAACTCTTTATACACTCTTTGAATATACTATATTTTGATGCCTTTGTTTCAATTCTGTTTTGGATCGAGTAAATTCTCTGAACGGGAGTACAGAAGTTTTGAAATTCAAAAATAGGAGTATCATGTTTTTTATTCCCTAAATAGGAGTAAATTTCTGCCAAGTTTGGCATTACTAGGCTTTTAAAATGCATTTTTTTCTAAACTTGCCAGATTACTCCTATTCAAGGAATAAAAAAAATGATACTCCTATTTTGGAATTTCAAAACGTTTTTACTCCTATTTAGGTCAATTTCTATTTTGGATTTAGTGAACAACGTTATGAGGGATGAATTTGTTTTAAAAAAAGGATGACACTGCATCCCTGAAGGTCCCAACATCAATCGGACAGTTAGAAGATGAGAGGGAGAGAGATGGATTTGTTTTCAAGTTGTTGAACAAGTGGTGATTTTTTCCTTTCAAAAAGTACTTTATTTGATTAGCCTGTCAGGCACTGGGTCCTATGTATAACTCTTTCTCCTTCAAAAAAGAGAAAAATGCATCGTATACACCTTTTGTGTGCAGACAACTCGTTTGTTGGGGACAGATTGTGTACACAAAAGTTGTACACAAAAAGTGTACACCAATAAAAAGTACTTTATTGGATTAGCCTGTCACGCACTCGGTGCTATGTATAACTCTTTCTCCTTCAAAAAAGAGAAAAATGCATCGTGTACACCTTTTGTGTACACCTTTTGTGTACAGACAACTCTGTTGCAAAAAAGATATGCTTTTTCCTCATAAAGTTTTTTGCGTGTTGAAAACAAACATGCTTTGTGACTAAAGTCTACTATCTTTTGTTGATAACTTCATCGATTTCAATAATCTCAAGATTAAGATACAAGTGATAATTGGTTTCTAAATCTAACTGATGAGTGCTGATTTCTTTGATGAACATAATCAATAATCACACAACATGACTTTCTAAGTACAAAGTCAAAAATGTATTGTTTACATCAAATCTGGAGGGGATATTATTATTATAACACATCCGACAAACAACTAAGAACATGTCATACCCTAAACAAAATCTGACTTGAATATGCTCTCTTCGGATAATTTAAGGTGCCATGAAATAATTAAGAATATAATATTCTAATTCGAAGAAACCGAACTCATTACCCACATAAAAAATATACTAATTAAGGTTTCCATTGACACAATTATTTAGACACTAATTAAATAACTTAATTCAAGTATACATACTTTGAGAAAATAGTTTTGAATGATATATAATATAATGAGGCCATTGATGATAATTGTGATATTGTGGATGTATTATTTATAATATTTGATATCAATTTGTCATTTAAAAGTGCTAATTATTTTCTAATAGATGTGCAATTTTTTTGAAAGAACAATAGACGTGCAATTTTTTTGAAAGTGCAATTTTTTTGAAAGAACAATAGACGTGCAGTTATGAAAGTAAAGAAAAAGTATTACAATAATTAAGACAAAAAAGAGACAAGTAAATATAAAGAGACAAAAGTACCCTGAGCTGGAACACCGGACCCAAACCCTAACATTGGTCATTCTCTCCGGCCTCTACCGCTCCGATAACGTCGCCGGTGTTGTAGTGATGACGCGGCTGGCTCCTCCAGTTGACGACGGGCGATGGACGACAAGGACGGGGGAAACTTGGTTGCCAACTCCATGGATGATGAGTGAAGCATCGATGCCAACTCCATGGTCGACATACGGAACTTGGATTTCATTAGTGGCGACATGCACCAGAATCCTAAATATGTGAAAAATAGAGAAGATGATAAAAGAGAGATGAAGAGGAAAATAGAGGAATTAGGAGAGGAATAAAAATAAGACTTGAGACTTTTGACTAGACAAAAATAGGACGAGATATGGAAAGGACAAAAAAGAGACCGAACTGCTCCAACGCGGCACCGCCCACAGGAGACCTTCGCTTCGCACCAAAGGAAACTGTCTTCATCGCCCATTTCGGGCTGTCTTCTCCGTCGCACACAGTGGCGGACCCAGGAAGTCGGAGCCACGGGGTCCCTACCCTTACATATCTTTGATCTCTAATTAATTAAAAAAATATTAAAGAAGCATAACACTTCAAAGTTAACGTACACCATCAAAACATTAAGATATATTATAAAGCAAAAACTTACATATAAAAGTCATTCAACAATTCTATAGATGTACTCTCCTAGGCTTCATTTGTTGGAAATATTCTATAATAGAATCATCACTAATAGTACCAAAAACATCTCTCTCAACATATGTAACTAAGCAATCATTCAACCATTGATCGCAGATCTTGTTGCGCAACTCATTCTTCACAAACTTCATACTTGAAAACGCCCATTCAACACTTGCTGTAGCTACTGGGAGAAGTAGAGATAACTTAATAAGTGTATACACGTGTTGATATGTGAGATGCTTCTTCGTGGAAACCATTTCAATTGAAAGGTCTAATAAACCATTCAAATCAGAAAATCTATTATCAGAACGGACATCTAAAATATAATTCTCAAGCTGATTCTCGAGTATCTTTTGATCAACGTCAGAAAACTCTTTTGGATAAAATTCTGCCAATTTAAGCAAAGATGCCCTATCAAAAGCTTCAAACGAGGAGGAAGGACATAAACAAGACACACAACGCAATAACTCAGTGCTTGCCACATCAAACCTGCTATCAAGCTCAGCCACAAACAAATTAACAATCTCATGTAAACAATCATATTTGTAATGATGCATGTTCGTTATACTCGGTGCCCTGCGTTTCGATCTTTTTCCTTTGATGTAGTTCTGATCCATTGAAGGCACATCTATATGAAATTTGTTACAAAAAGTAACAACCTCATCAAACAAAGCACCCCATCCAATATCTGTTTTCATTGCCGCTAAACGTTGTTTGACAACTTGTACTAGTTTCAAAGCATTCACAAGATCTTGTTCACGCCTTTGCAATGCCTGTGAAAGATCATGTGTAATGGCCAAAACATTGATCATCAAATGAAGCATGAAACAAAATTCAAAAGTTTGCAATTCATTCAACAATGAAGTGGCTTCACCACTTTTATCATGGTCTTCCAAATCTTCGAGCACCTCAATCACAGATTTAAATAATTTTTGCAAATTAAGCAATGATTTGTAATGAGAACTCCATCGTGTATCACCTGCTCTGACAAGTGCTAACTGTTGATTCAATCCTCTTCCTGTTTTTACTAGTCCAGCTTCTAAAGCACTTATCAAATCACTTGCTTGTTTATCTCGAAGGCATTCTTGTCGCTTATTTGATGAGCAGATCTCATTAATTACATGACTAACATGAAGAAGTAACCAATTAACCTCATGTTGTCCTTTAACAGCGGCAACACGTGACAATTGCAATTGATGAGCTAAACAATGGACATAATATGCATAGGGATTTTCATTTTGAATTAGAGTTTTCAATCCACCAAACTTACCCCGCATATTACTCGCTCCGTCATAGCCTTGTCCTCTTATGTTTGAGATGCACAGACCATATTGTGTTAGAATGTTCTCAAGAGATTCTTTAAGAGATGATGCAACTGTGTCTTTTACATGAACAAGACCAATAAATCTCTCCAAAACAGAACCATTACTAGCAACAAAACGCACAACAATAGCCATTTGTTCTTTACCAGAAACATCCCCTGATTCATCAACTAATATAGCAAAAACATCATCTCTCATTTGTTTAATAATTTCATGAACAGTTAGAAATGCACAAGCATAACACAAGTCCTTTTGAATTTTGGGTGAAGTCATCTGATTGTTTTGTGGAGCATTTTTTAGGACTCTATCTATCTCAGAATCATGTTGTCTCAAAAGATCTAAAGTCTCAAGAAAATGACCTTTATAACTAGACTCTATTGATTCGTCATGACCCCGAAATGGCAAACCCCCACAAAGAAGAAATCTAGTGCACTCAAGTGATGCCTTCAAGCGAATAAGGTAATCAGACTTTGCTTGTTCAGATTGTTTCACAAAACATGCTCCAATACTTTGTTTTTGGTTCATCAAATCTTCCAATCTTTTCACCGCATTGTAATGAGGACTGTTAGGTTTACCAACATGTAAATAGAATCTATCTTTTTTATTCCATGCTGAAAACCCAATTCCCACAAAATGATCACCCCCAACTTCCCACTCATTCTTAAACAAATAACATGGCAAACAAAATGCAGCATCTTTAGCAATACTGTATTCCAACCATTTATGCTCATCAAACCAACTTGAAACAAATCTACGTTTTTTGCCTCCAATTAACTTAAAAGGGAAATCATGGTCCCGAGGTTGAAACGGTCCTTTTTGAATGTAACTACGACGTACCTCGTCTTGAACATTAGGGTGAAAATCAGCAATTCTTTTTCTCAATCCAGGATTAGCTTCCAAAGATTCAAAATCTTCATGTTGTTCAGGTAGATTATAAGCCAAATTAGCTTCACTTTCAGCAATTACTTGATCCAATTCTTCATTTATTAATGGCGGATCATTTGAATTAACACCCGAACTACTCCCGGTACTTTGAGTTTCTTTAAATTTGGGTACAACATCAAAATATCTTTTCATCCTAAATCGTATAAAATTGAAAATAACATTTATAAATACATGAATTTATTAATTTAATCTAACATTAAAAAAAGATATGCAAAGAAAAGCAATTAAAAGCAATTTAAACATAGAAATTGAAATTTGAAATCCCTAATTTTTGAGCATATAGAAAATCCAACAAAAAGCTTGAGATTTGAGAAACTCCATTAATGGAGAAAAGAAAAGAAAGTACCTTGGGCAGTTCAGCAGTTGGGCTTCGGCAGTTCCGCCAGTTCGGACTTCGGACTTCGGCCGCAGCCGCAGGGGACGCAGGCGGCAGGGAGAGGGAGGCCGCAGGGCGCAGGGGACGCAGAATCGGCGGTCGGCGACTTGGGGCCAGTTGGGGGCTGGGGGCTGCCGGCTGCGTGAAAGAGAGGAAGGAAAAGGGGCCGCAGAATCGGCGGTCGGCGATTTGGGGACAGTTGGGGGCTGGGAGCTGTCGGCTGCGTGAAAGAGATGAAGGAAAAGGGGCCGCTGGTTACGTGAAAGGAAAAGGGGTTGTTGGGTTGGGTCTTTTGTTTTGGGCTTAAGTTGGGTTGTGGCTTTCCTTAAAGACAAAAAAAAGGCCCAAAAAATAATAATTCGGAGATGGGATTCAAACCTGATACCTCGCGTATCAGGTACCTTGCTTCCAGACGTGTTCCCGTTCGGCTGTAACAACTTTATTGTTTTTAAGTTGTTTTGTGTTTATATATACATTGAATAAGTAATTTTAAAAAATATATATATAATATATATAGGGTTTTTTCCCGAGATCCACGGGGTCCCGGGACCCCTTGGGACCCTTTGTGGGTCCGCCACTGGTCGCACATATCAGGCTTCTGTCTTCGTCACCGAGCAACTAATGTTGTCTCCGTCGCCAAGCAATTACGCCTCCGTCATCTCCGAGCAATTGCGCCTCTGCCGTCACATATCAAGTGCAGATCTATCATCTTCTTCTTGTTTCTTTTCTGGAACAACAAAGATTTGTAATCTTCTTCGTCTTGCAAGGTCTGGAGCATCCTGATGGCCGTCCATCGGAGGGGTGTTGGTGCCTGGAGATTGGGGCTGAAGCAGGGGAGGGGTGGTACAGGTCAAGGTGGCTGATGCAGGGGCGGGTGCTCGTACAGGGGAGGGATCTGGTGCAGGGGAGGGGGCTGGTGCAATGGCGGGGCTGATGCAGGGTAGGGGGCTGGGGTAGGGGTAGTTGTCACCAGGCTGGGCAGTGATCGGGGGTGGTGGTGGTCGGGGGATACTGGTGGTCGGGGGCGGTGGTCATGGTCGGATTGGTCAATGGTCGAATTGATCATGGTCAGATCGGTCACGATTGGGTTGGTCACAGACGGATTGGTCACGATTGGATTGGTCACGATTTGGTGGTCGCGGTCAGATTGGTCATGATTGGGTTGGTCACGGTCAGATTGGTCACGGTCAGATTGGTCACCGTCGGGTTGGGCACGATTGGGTTGGTCGAATTGGTCGTTGGTGTGTTTTGGTAATTGTCACTCATAGAAGTTTAGGGGGGTGTATTGAATATGGATTGTGGTGGATTTTTTTTAATCCGTGGACTTTTAAAAAAGTCAATGGACTTTTAAATCCATAGAATTTTTTATGAATGAATTCTATGGACTTTTAAATCCATAGATAAGTTTATTGACTTTCAAAAAGTCCATAGACTTTTAAATGCGAACCACCACTGCTGGTCGTCAAAATTTTCACCTAGACCGACGCTACCGATCTGCCCGTCCACCTCCGTCACTTGAGTTCCCCGTTGTCGTTATCGGACTGATCCGCCACCAACAAAGTCGATTTGGTTATGCAAGGGAATTATGGACAGTTACTTATATTAATTAATTAAATTAGGGGTGAATATGTAATATTTAGTCCTATTTAAGGAATATCAAACATATGATCATACTTGAAGAATGCTACTCCGTATGTTTTAGTCCTACCCTGAATAATTTCCTCTGTATAATACAGAGTGTGATAAGAAACAAATAGACAAACAAATAAACAAACAAACAAACAAACAAATAAATAAATAATTAAATAAATAAATAAATAAATAAATGAAACAAATGTAATTCATATAGCACACAAAGTTCTACAAGAATAAATGAAGCATAAGAATCCAAATTTATTTTTATTAAAAAAACTCAAAGTTTCAAGAATGCTCAAGAATTTTGGTCATTTTATTAACGAGTAAGAACATTAATCGTTACACAATCGTTAAACTCATTGCTACATGTGGTACAAGCACAGTTGCAATCGAGTTTATCTTCTTAATAATTGTTTTCTTTTCATTTCTATCTTGTAAAATTTTGTGTACTTATTTACGGTTATATATTTATTAATTTGAAATTATATTTTTTTGTGTTAGCGATTTAACGATGAAAGAAAATAATAGTTAAAATATTTATTTTCTTAATGGTTAGACGACGTACCAGAATTGCACTAATGTAATATTATCGATTCTTATACCAGTTCCTCTAGAAACTTCTAGAATCGAACCAGTATGGGATTAACGAATCGAGGGGGGTGGGGCAAGTTGAAGAAGAAAAAGAATGGAAGGAGAGGGGTGGAGCGAGCTAGGCTGAAGAATAAGAAGAAAGATCGAAGGGGAAGGGGTGACTTGGCTAAAGAAGAGGAGAGTTGGCGGGGTGAGGTGGGGGGACGAGATGAAGAACCGATATAAGAAAAGTCCACGGAAATCTTTAGTGAGAAGAAGAGACAATCGAAGAGAATTAATGTACTAAAAATGAGTTAAAAGTCCACTTGAATCCATGATTTTAGAAATCCATAAGAATGAACGGAACTTTGAATATGCCTAGACTTTTATAGACTTTTAAAAGTCTACATTGAATACACCTAGACTTTTGTAGACTTTTAAAAGTCCACATTGAATACACCTCATTTTTGGAACGTTTTGAAACTAGTCCTATTTTTGTCAATGAGATTTGTTTTAGTATTCTTTTTGGAAAACCCTCGTAAGTTTATAAGAAGGCAGTTTTTTTTTTCAATTAGAAAACACAAAATGTGAAACGTGGAGTACGTAGTGTCTAAAAGAGCACGCAACGTGAGTTTATAACATTATATACGTAGTTTAATTAGAAATCTAAGATTTTGAAAATATTGTTTATATATACACTAGTCTATTAAAGCTCATTTGTCATTCTTTTTGGGAAAGCTCATTTGTCATTGAAAACCCTTTTTTGTTTTAATGTTAACACGAAGAGATTTTTTTAAACGTTGTACGTTAAAATTGTGCACAAATTTTAAGGCTTAATTTTATATTTAGGACAATATATATATCCCTAAATGAACTTATAAGATAATCGAGAATTGAAGCATATATGGATACCAAATAATTCTATAATATTTTTAAGTTCTAACGAGTAATGACTATGCACTGATGAACAGAGTCCAGATGGCGATATCATCGATTGTGTGCACATATCAAAACAACCTGCTTTTGATCACCCACTACTCAAAGACCATAAAATAAAGGTTCGTTCTTCCGTCTTTATATTTCTCTCTTCTTTACAAATGTTAACCACACAACTTTTACTTTTCTTATTCATGTAACATTAGATGAGACCAAGCTACCATCCGGCTGAAGGGCAATTCGATGCAAACAAAGAGTCAACAAGAGTCAACGCTAATAAAGAAGCGACAAATGATACAAAAACAATAGTGAGTCAGTTGTGGCATAATAATGGGAAGTGTCCTTTGGGCACTATTCCTATAAGGAGAACAAAAGAAGAGGATGTTTTAAGGGCTGGAAGTATGGTGAATATGTATGGTATGAAGAAGCCCGGTAGCTTTCCGATCAAGCCCGAGGATGACTCCAACGATGGGTCTAAAGGTGCACGTTATGAGGTAAAAATGAAATTTCAAATGTTGGTTGAAATATTTACATACGGTTATAATACTGATTTGCTTCATTTAAGAGTTAAGGTAATAAAATGAAGCAAGTACTCTTAATTGTTAAGGCACCGTACGTTTACGCATTTTACGCACCACAAGTCACAATCATTTGAACTTGCTTACATGACATTCACATGGACTTTGTATAGCATGTTGTACAATATTCAGATAGAAAAGTCAATTAATCTCACTCCATATATGTATAACTATAGAAACCAAGTCTTTACTCATTCTCCCCTTAAGGTATCACTACTAGAAAACTGACTTATAGTGACACTTTTATAGTGACATTTTTTTAAAAATAGTGTCACTGACGAATGCCTTAACTAAAAAGTGTCATTAACTCATGACACTATTATATCAATAAAAATAGTGATATTACATGCGAATTTTTGGCTCCAACTTTTTAATTCCCTCCATTTTTTTCGCGCACTTTGTGCTCACTCGTGCGCGCCCTGAGAAATGTCTCGGGGGTCACCCATCCCAGACTAGTACCGTGTAAACACGTTTAACTTGGAGTTCTTAGTAGATGAATCTACTTAAAAGGAGATGCACCTTATTGATATGAGTATTACTATTAATCCTTTTATATTAATATCAAGTATTACAGATAAACTAAAACTCAGAATAGGTACATATCTGGACAAAACCTAATTTTGATGGTGGGATTTTTTTTTTGTCAAAATTGTGTTCTTAATTATTGGAGAAACGTTTAGCAACACGAGAGGGAGGGTGATATGTGTGTGTGGAACCGTGACAGATTTTCGCACAGTTCTAGTGTGGGGTTCAGGGAAATGCGAAATAGTAAAGTGCACAAGGATTTAACGAGGAAAAATCCCTTGGCTCAAAGGGATTAAAAAACCTCGACCTCCCTCGGAGGAATTTAAACAACTCCACTAAAAAGCCTTTTGAATGATTACAAGGGAAACTCTCCTAGTCTACCCTTGAGCCACCCCAACTCTATCCTCTCTAGGAAGAGTTATGCATCTCTACCTTGCGGGTAGAGAGCCTCTCAGCTTTACAACAAAGCTCTCACACACACGACCCCAACCCGAGGAAGCTACACTTTAGCTTTTCCTCAAAATCTACTTACAATATAAAAATGGGAGAAGAAACTATATTTAGAACTCCGTAAGCAGGTCCATGTGCCTTGGTCTTGATACTACTTTGTAAGTATTTCTCTCCGCAATTGCTCAGTCAAGCACACCCGCTTCTCTTGATCTTCTGTCATATATATAGCTTCATGCAGGACGTATGTTGTTCCTCTTTCCTTAGTTGGTTGCTTGGTAAATTTATGGACTTGCCTTGATATCTTTGAATTGCTTCTCTCCATAATATTTCTCATATTCCATCTCGAGATATGTAGGGCAGTCAAATTGAGATACTTAAGATATTCTAATCACGTATACACGAAAGTAGCATACCAATTACGGACAAGGAAATTATTTCATAAATGCAATGGATCAAATATGGAATATATTTCAAACAAGGATTACTTTTTAAATCCGTATAGCAAGAGAAAGAATTCACTTAACAAGTATAAGTGATATGGTCAACTTCCAATTATAAATCATGCACTCACATCAAGTAAAGATACTTTCCATAAAGTATTTAAATAATATTTAATGAGTGGATGTCAAGTCAAGTATGGAAAGATAATAAGCACCAAAATAGGTATATAGAGTGGACATGCATAGAAAGATATTTTTGCTTAAAAATAATATTCTTGACAAAATATAAGCGTTAATATAAGGAAAGTATATTAATTGAAAATCAAGTAAGCGCAATCAATATTAATTCAAATCACATCATGGAACTAGAATTGGTTCTGCATTAGTTCCACCTACATGGTTAGTCAACAACATACTAATAATATCCATTGGGTCCTGAGGATAGTTCTGTCCTTGGTTTCTTAAGGAACTGTGAACGGTTCCGTCCGCCATTACACCTGCAGGTTAGTCATCAACAAAACAACATACTCAACAAATTCCCCCTTTTTGTTGATGACAAACATTAGATGCCATAATAAAGGTGTCCCTGCAGATTAGTGTCTAAACCAACACAACAAGGTCGAAACATAGTAGTAGCAGATTTAAGTGTAGCAGTTTTAAGGAAAGAGGCACCTGATTATTTCCCCCTTTTGACATCAACCAAAAGGAAACAGAAAATAACCAAAACAATGTCGGAAATTAAGTAAGTGTTAGTATGATATCCCACCCCAAAATCATAATATTTGAAAAATGTGTTCATGATAGTGAATCAGTCTTCATCGGATGAGGGTACAATCCTCCCGTGAAGCCCTTCACTGTCTTGCTCAAACTTGGCCAACACCTCATTATGAAAAGATTTTAAGTCAGTGCGTACTTCATCAAGCCGACTGGAAAGTGTGATCACCGATTCTGCCAATGAATCAAGCCGTCGTAGCATAGTGAGCTCCATAAGGTGTAGCTGCTCTTTGAGAAGTGTAACAAAATGCACCGGGTCAGGAGAGGCAGCAGGACCTGGCTTAGGTTTAGAAGTTTTGGACGAAGGAACTGGTGTAATGGTTTCCTTGAAGATGAGTTTAGAGTTGTGAACGGTGATGCCGTAGCTCAGAAGACCCTTAGTATCAAGATTTTTGTGAATGGTGTGGTAAGGCAGATTGTCGAGAGAGATCCCAATTTTGATGAACAAGTGTGTCAAGATAGTGCCAAAGGGAATCCCAACCTTTCTAGCGCGATCACTGATGGTAAATTTGAGATGAGCAAACATAAGGCCAGGAAGGTTAGTAGGGGTTTTGTGGCTAGGAGATACGTATATACAACTTCTAGCCTAGATGAAATCAATCTTCCTTCCAGTCGAGGGATGAGATTTGAATGGACAAAGTAAAACAACAATTTGTGGATAGGAGACAAATTACTCACAAGAAGGGAAAGGCTTGTAGCATTTGGATCAAAATATTTTATGGCATTCATCTGGGTCACAGTTGACAGAGGCCATTCATCCTTCTTGTAAGGGCATTCACCAGAATAGGGAACATCTAACGCATTCGCTAGTTCTTGGACAGTTAGGCGTAGCTTGGTACAACGAACACGAGATACAATTGCATTGTCTTTGATTATAAGATTAGCAAGAAAATCGGATAGACGGTCAGGGTAGATGGGACAACAATACTTGCTTCGAAAAGAGACCCCCATTTTTGAAAGGCAATGAGTTCTACAAAATCGGTATTTTGAAAGGAGAGTTCGGTGAAGGGGATAGTGATTACCTTTACAATACCTCTTTCCAGGTATGCAGCTTTGAGTTTGAGAGCATCTTCTTCCGCCACCTTCCCTAGTTTAGGAAATTTTCTGGTTGTTTGCTCGCCTGAGATGATACCTTCTGCAATGGCTCTCTTCCGGGTGTATTTGCGAGGCAAAATCTTCCCTTCGCGAGTGAGGGGTTTTTCTTTAGAATGTTTCACCGGAGAGGGAGTGGCTGAGGATGGTGAGTTTCCTTCTTGTTCCCCCTTAAAAGATGCGGGGGAAGGTGGTGGTGAATTGGAAGACTCGAGGTGGTGATCTTGCATGCTCGCAGGAGGAGAAGTTTCAAGATCAATTGGAGTGACTGATGAAGGTGGGGGAGGTTGTGGGTTCCATTTCCGTCCTGAGCAACGAAGTGCAGGAGGGGCACAACCTCTAGTTTTGACCATGGCGGTTAGGGAGAAGAAGAGAGGAGGATTTTATGGAAGGTGGAAGATTTTTGGAAGTGGGCGACTAAATGGTAAGTGGAAGCCGAAATCCTCCTCCTTCCCAAGAGATCTTTAATGATTTCTTTCCAGGGAGGATTTCAAAATTATTTTCTAATTGAGAAAGTGGACGGTTGGTTTTAAAGTTTTTTGAAGCACTTTGTTATTTTTGGAAGTTTTAGGATTTGTTAGATTCATAGGTTAACTTACCTCCCTTTAACATAATTTCTAAATGAAAATCCTCCCATTAGATAGTAATTCATGATGTATGAGAAACCAAAGAAGATAATTTTAAACATTGATTAAACCAAGTTCAAGTCGAATTAATTCATGCCTTTCTCTTCCCAGGGGCTTTGTAAAGATGTCGGCAATTTGCATGTCGGTATTGCAATATTCCAACTTGATTAGTCCCATTTCCACTCAGTCTCTCAGAAAATGATGACGGATATGGATATGTTTTGTCCAAGAATGCATGACCAGATCCTTTGAAATACTTATTGCACTGGTGTTGTCGCATAAGATTGGCGTGCAAATTAGGTTGATCTCGTAGTCACTTACTTGTTGCATGATCCACAAGGATTGTGAGCAACAGAATGCGGCTGCCACGTACTCAGCTTCGGCTGTTGAAAGAGCAACTGAGTTTTGTTTCTTAGAACTCCATGAAACTAGGCAAGGACCTAGAAAGTGAGCCATTCCAGACGTGCTTTTCCTATTTAGTAAATCACCTGCAAAATCAGAGTCTGAATGTGCAATAAGGTTAAAATCTTCATTGCGCGGATACCATAAGCATAGATTCATAGTTCCCTTGAGATATTTGAGGATTCTGTTGACTGCTTTGAGGTGTGGCTCCTTAGGATTTGCCTGGAACCGAGCACATAGACCTACACTAAAAACTATGTCGGGTCTACTGGCAGTTAGGTATAGTAGAGACCCAATCATGCCTCTATACTTTTTTTGGTCCACGCTTATTCCCTGTTCATCTGCATCAAATCGTTCATTTGTTCCAATAGGTGTCGTCATTGTTTTGCCTTCACTTGTTCCGTACTTCTTGAGAAGTTCCTTAAGATACTTTTGTTGAGATATTTGGGTTCCTTTGCTTGTTTGTTTGATTTGTAGACCAAGGAAAAAGTTTAGTTCTCCCATCATACTCATCTCGAACTCGGAACTCATAAGAGCAGAAAATTCATCACAAAGTGAGTCATTAGTAGCACCAAAAATAATATCATCTACATAAATTTGAACAACC